GGTCTGGGACTCAAACTGCGTTCGACTACGTGGGAGTCCAGTAATGTAACCATTATGCCATCTGCTGGTCCCAAGGTAGTATTTAAAAAAAAAAAAATTTAAAAACAAGGGGAAGAAAGAAATGTAACCCAAAATATTTCTTTTGTTATTAACAGATAATTCAATCTGAGTAAGTTTAAAATTCCTAGACTAATGCAAAAATATTCTTTTCTCAATATACACAGAATAATGGTATTTTAAAAACTATATTCATGGGGACCAGCAGTTGGCATAATGGCTATGTCACTGGATTCCTATGTAGTCGACCGTGGTCCAAGTCCCAAACCTGGTGGCTTAAATTCACGATGTGTGTGCATGCATGCCCAAGATCCCAAGAGGAGAATGGAGAAGGGATTGCGGCGTGGCCATCACCCCTGGGGGGTGATTTCTTGCTTTCTGTCTCTCTGTCTTTCTGGCGAGCGCATGTACCCTATAGCAAAAACCTCTCCAAAAAAAAAAAAGAAAGAAAGAAAGAAAAAAACTGTATTTATGGAGAGCACTTCTGTTATACCTTGATAATATTATTACTTTTCTTTTATGTGTGGTTCAAGACTATGAAAATGTCCCTTTCTATACCTGAATGTCAATGTAAGATCCTCGGCTGGAACCTTGCTTTGTGGTTCTGGTTGTCCATTTTCTGCTTGCTTACTTGCATTCAATTTGCTTTTCATGTCCAGAGAACACTGGTTCTCCTTTGAAAGAGAAGGAAATAAAAGCAGTTATCGTCTATTTAATGATGCTAATTTAAGAGATCAAACATAGGTAATACAAACAAACTGATGATCCTGAAATTATACTTAATTTTATAAATGACCAAAGACAACACACATACTAAAGGAGATGTACCCAAACAATGGAGTACAATCCACGTGGCTCACTATCTAAGCTGTAGAAAACCTTGAGGTAACTTGGAAACTTCTCACAATCAAAACGGCTTGGCCCTGGAGTCCAACACTTAAATGGTATGTACAGGGGGCCAGGTCCCATAGGGCAGACTGAGATTCGATTAGAATCTTGGCCTTAAAAGTTTGAAAAAGGGATTGGAGCATGGCCACGCTCCCTGAGGGGGTGATATTTTTTTGCTTTCTGTCTCTCTGTCTCTCCAGCAAGCGCATGCGCCCTGTAGCAAAAATCTCTAAGTAAATAAATAAAATTTTTAAAAAGCAAAGCAAAGAAAAACATGCTAGTTATGTGTGTTCACACCCGTGTGCACATGCATGCGCACAGGATATCCTGGTACTGTATAGAAGTGGAAGAAAAAAGATTATGGTGTGACCATGTCCCATGCAGAGAGGTGCTTCCCCTCTCTGACAAGCACACTAACCCTCTGGCAATAAAATAAATAAATAAACAATGACTAACCAAAAGTGAACCAAAGTACGCACATTATTTATTTTACTTTTTATTTTGCCAGAGAGCGAGTGTGTTTACCAGAGAGTGAGAAGCAGACAGAGAGAGAGAGACAGAGAGAGGAAGAAAGCACCCCCAAATGGGGCATGGTCATGCTTCAATACCCTCTCATTCATTTCACCCAGTGTTTTTCAGGTGATCAGGACCAGAATTCGTATTGGTCATGAGATTGGTGCCTCTAACTACTAGGTCACAGGAATGCCCTATAATGTACCTAATGAAAGTATCTGAAAACTGGGATCAGCAGGTGGTGTGGTGGCTAACGGCTCTGAACTCCCACATGGCCAACTGCAGTTCGAGTCCTGGATCTGGTGGCTTGCTTTCTCACTTTCCTTCCCTCTTGCTCTCACTCTGTCCCTCTCTGGTAAAATTAAAATAAATAAATAAAAGTTAAAAAATAATAAAATAAAAGAATCTGAAAACTATACAAGAAGTCAAATACCATATAACCGGAGAGATGACACAAGCCCCTAAGATTTAAAATATACTGAAAAATAAAAGAATCTGAAAACTATACAAGAAGTCAAATACCATATAACCGGAGAGATGACACAAGCCCCTAAGATTTAAAATATACTGAAATGAATATTTGTGTTATGAAACAAACTCTAAGCATATCTATGGATAGAATTTCACAGAAAAGAATGTATGGATTACATCTTACTCATAAAAAAAACAAACAAATAGATCAGTCATAACTTAAAAGCTATAGAAACCTAGAATGTTATATGGTAAACACATTCTCTCAGGATCTTGGGCACGCATGCACCTGTGCCTGGCATGAGTTTTAAGCCACCAAGTTTAGGACTCAAACCACAGTAGACTATGTGGGAGTCCAGCAATGTAAACATTATGCCATCTGCTGGTCCCTAATTTCCATCAATTCCTTTATTTTCCCTAAAAGTTAATGAAGAACCCTAAGACAAAGAATATACTTAAACCAAATGGAAATGAAGAGAATGATAAAATAGGAAGTAGCCCACTTTTTTTTTTCTTTTTGGGGGGTGAGAAAATTTTGCTATAGGGCACATGTGCTTGCCAGTGTCGACAGAGAGAGACAGACAGAGAGAAATCACCCCCACAGGGAGGATGGCCACACTGCAATCCCTTCTCCTCCATTCTCTCCTCAGGATCTTGGGCAAGTGTGCACACGTGCCTGGCGTGAGTTTAAGCCACCAGGTTCAGGACTCAAACCACGGTCAACTACATGGGAGTCCAGAGACACAATCATTAAGCCAAATGTTGGCCCTCCCAGTAGCCCATTTTTATGAAAATTATTCTAAATATTAATCACTCACCAGAGTACCTTAGAGTGAAAATTCTACAGCTCTAGATGATTTTTGAACTCTAGAGCCATGAGTTCCGTGATACAACTACACAGATCAGATTTCATCTCACCTTCCCTCTTTTTTTCCACTGTTAGTACTCACCATACTCAGTTCCCGGGTTCTCTTTCCGATTTCCCTTTCCACCTGGTGTAGTTCCAAACTTAACTGTTCACTTGAGATCATTCCAGGCCACTTGGGAGGTGGGGCTGAGGGCTGTGTCTGGCCTGGCAGGGTGTTCGCCTCCCTCTGCAACACCAGCCTGTTACTAACGGCCTAGTACACAAAGCCAAGCACATATACAACTCAACACACTTCACATCATGCATAGAATAACACGGTCCAATTTCTGGCACAGCCCTAAGTAGCTTATCACTCGGGTATTTGTAATAAAAATAATGCAATTATAAGGCACTGTTTCTTTCTTTGAGTACATATGAGTAATAGAAAAAGAAATTAGGGGATTTAAATTAAGTGAATAGTAATTTCATCTTAGGTATAAGTTGTTCTTTTTTTATTTTCTTATTTGAGAAAAGTTACTATAAATGCGGCACCTTTCCCTCTTTTTTACTGTTGATTTTCTCTGAAGTATATCCCCAAATTTCTTTTTCCCTTTTTTTGGGGAGAGGTTTTTGCTATATGGTGTGTGTGCTCAACATGTGCACACACCTGGTATGTTTTTCAAGCTGTCAGGACTGGGATTCTAACCTTAGTTGGGCATGTGGGACACTGGTCCCTTAACCACTAGACTACGGAGTTGGCCCCCAAACTGTTTACCTTAAACTTAAATATGCCATCAACAAATATAAGCTTTTCTTGAGGAAATTTCAAATAATTTGTTTTGTATTCATAGGTAGTAAAAAGTCTAAATTTTCAACTCAATACTGAATTTTTTTTTTTTGGGTGAGGTTTTCACTATAGGGTGCGTGCGCTTGCCAGAAAGACAGAAAGCGAGAAATCACCCCCCAGGGGGGATGGCCACGCTGCAATCCCTTCTCCTCCATTCTCTTCTCGGGATCTTGGGCACGCATGCACATGCACCTAGCATGAGTTTAAGCCACAGGGACCGGGACTCGAACCGTGGTCGACTACATGGGAGTCCAGTGACATAGCCATTATGCCAACTGTTGGTCCCAGTACTGAGTTCTTTAAAGAAAGGAGACTTGGAGGCCAGCAGGTGGCATGGTGGTTAAGGTGCTGAATACTCCAACATTGCTGACCACAGTTCAAGTCCTGGACCTGGTGGCTTGCTTTCTCACTTTCCTTCCCTCTATGTGTCTGTCTTTCTCTGGTCAAATGAAAATAAATGAATGAATAAATAAAATTAAATAAATAATTCTTTAAACCCTCCCCCCCCGAAAAAAAAATAAAGAAAGAAAGAAAGAAGATTTAAATGAAGTAGTGGTTAAGTAAACTCCCACATAGCTAATTGTGGTTGGTTCAGGTCCTGGACCTGGCAGCTTTCTTGGAATAAAGTATCTACAGGCTGGTACCTCCAATCCACGTAGCTGGGTCTGCTGGCTAATCTGATGGTTCAGCTGCTGCAATTCCAGTCGCAGCTGTTCCCGCTCAGCAGATGGAAGAGGCTTTCCGTGACTGGCAACCTCAGACATGGATATTCTCTCCCTTTGGTGAGAAAGAAAAAATGCAGTAAACTTTAAAATTTTATTTATTAAAACAGTACTGACCAGAAAAAAACAAACAAACAACAAAAGCTGAATAATTTCAAAGGTTTGCCTTAAGTATAAAGAATGATGCATACCTCTCACTAAAGTGTCCCTGAGAAGGTATGTTTTGATGAGGTGAATACGGAGAACCTCCCCAGCCACTATGGGTTCCATATGGACTATAATCTGTAAGAGAATGAATTATTGTAGTATGAGATAATTCATAGATTGATTCTTCTGAGTTTCTTTAGTTAGGTAGTAGAAATTCACAGTTTTCTACTGTCTCAGAATTGAATGCAGTACTGAATTCTTTAAAGAATGGAGACTCAGAGCTTGCATGAGCAAGAGAGCGAGATAGGGAGACGGCACCCCAACAGAGTCCTTGATGCTGTGCTCCACTCACAACCTCAGCCAGTCTGGATCACACGTATGCATGTGCCCTGCATAATCAGGGAGGTCTCCAGAGGTGAACCTAGAATTTTCTACATGGGTCAGTCTTGCAAAGTGTTGTATTTTACTTCTGTGCAATGAACTGGTCCCCAGATTTTTCTTTTCTCTTTAAGCTGCCCAAAATCTAAAAGGCATATATATATATTGTGCACACAGATGTCTTGAAAGACAGCTACCAAAATGGTAATAGATTGCTGATATTTTTTGTTTCTTCCACAGTGAAGCCTCTTTGTATTTTGTTCTTCTATTTGAATTTTTTAAAAATAATGAGATGGTATAATTCTAATAAAGGCAATTAAAGTACTAAAAAAAAAAAGGAAACCTAAGCAATCTTCATATATAGACATGTAGTTTAGTTTATGCCCCTAAATTCCCTGGAAAAGAATGAAAATGGGGAGTGGAGGTTGTGCTGAGAGTCATGAGTATGAGCACTTTATGTCAGCTTACCTCTGAGATTCTTACCTGAAATGTTAATAGATTTTGTGGGAGCTCCCTGTGGTGCCATGGCCTGCATTGGACCTGCACCTTGATATATTGTTTTGGAAGTTCGAGAAATGGCACCAAATCGAGATACTGTTGGCCGGTCTCCAAATGGGATAAGGTCATCATCACTCGTTTCTGCTGTTCTTCTTTGAGGATCTAACCTCTGGTCTCTCATTCCTTTACTCTCCACATTCTGATAAAGCAAATGCAAAATCCAGTCCACCCTTAGATCTCTAACACAATTTCCTTTAGCTCTGTAGTAAGGTTAAATAACAGTACAAGGCTCTTGGAGCCAGCCTATAGTGAGGAGGGTAAAGCACTAGATCCCACATGGCTGACTGCAGTTCTAGTCCCAGACCTGGAAGCTTGAAAATCATGCCAGGCATGTGTGCATACATGCCCCAAATCCTGAGAGACAAATGGAGAAGAGACTGTGGCATGGCCATCCCCCACTGGGGGAGTGATTTCTCACTTACCCCCTTTCTCTCTCTCTCCAGCGAGTACATGTACCCTAAGGCAAAAACCTTAAAAAGAAAAAAATAATTGTTTTTAAACCTCTGATCATTCCCCACAGTAAGAAATATATTTTATATAATGGCCCAACACATGTACATAAAAATAAATACACACACACGCACATGTATATCTACCACTATGTGTTTTACATAACTTACACACATACATTTTTTGGGGGGGGGGAGTTTTTATATATATAAATAATAATTTTTTTTTTTTTTGAGAGACTTTGCTATAGGGTGCATGCGCCAGCCAGACACGAGAGACAGAAAGCGAGTAATCACCCCCTGGGGGGATGGCCATGCTGCAATACCTTCTCCTCTCGGGATCTTGAGCACCCACGCACATGTGCCCAGTGTGAGTTTAAGCCACCAGGTCTGCGACTTGAACCGCAGTCAACTACATCAGAGTTCAGCGACAGCCATTATGCCAACTGCTGCCCCCCCCCCTTTTTTAAAGAGATTTTTTACTATAGAGTGCATGCTCTCACTAGAGAGACAGAGACAAAAAGTGAGAAATCACTCCCCAGGAGGATAGCCACGCCACAATCCCGTCTCCATTCTCTTCTCAGGATTTGGGCACACACACACGCACCCAGCATGAGTTTCAAGTGGTTAGGTCTGGGATTTGAATTGCAGTCAGCCACATGGGAGTCCACCATCCCAACCTCTATGCCACCTGCTGCCCCCCAAAAATCTTACGACATCTGGGATAAAGTGAGTTAAATGTCTTTTATCTACTGGGAGATTTTATCTAGTTTTATTTTGCTGATACTTAGTGTTACTTTAAAAATCCTTTTTGAAAGTCAAGTACAAAGCAAGGATTCCTGCCCAACTTCATTTCCTCATCTCATTCCAGTGAAAGACTTTCCCGAATCCTACCAAAGAAAGTAGAAGGCCCAACAAAAGTAAAGGCTCTTTTTTTTTTTTCCTCTTCTCTCCTCTAGTGAACTCTCCTCTCTTTTGGTTGGTATGTAATCCTATTTATGCTAATAGATACAACTTTGGTCATTTACAGTGGTATCAGCATCCAAGTCTTCCCTTCAATGACCAACTATTGACTGGTCTTCTCTAACCAGCAGGGCAATTATTTATCTATAGAAACCTACCTATGTAAATACTACAGAATCTTTGTTAGCATTGATAAGGGCAGTCAAGTTAAAAATAAATAGTCGAAGTACACTTTCAATCCATAGTTTCAAGGCATACCATTTCTAAGTATAACTTTAATGTACACAAGGAAACATACAGAACAATGTTCACTGTTATACTACACATAACAGCAAAAGATCAAAAATAGCCTAAATGCCTATCAATATGAAAATGAATACTCTAATAAAGTTATATACTGCATATTTATTTAAATATATGTATTCGTATATTAGCTATCATACAAGATCCGATAAAGGCACTTAAAATGAATGAATCCGAGCTATACATAAAAACAGGAATACATCTCAAAAACAACGCTGAGTGAAAATACAAGTTGAATCATATAATTTATAAAAGGACAATAAAAGCATACAAAACAACATTGGTTAGAACTAGTATAGAATTATCCATGAAAATGATAAAAACTAAATTCAGGATAGATGTGACTGAATGAGAAGGAGAGAAGGAGAAAAATAAGATTAGGAAGGGATTTAATTATTTCTGGACAATTTTATTTCATTAAAAAAGAAAGTTAAGATAAATATTGATTTATGTTAAACTTGGTTTTTAGGAACAATGGTCTTAATTCTTCATTGAAAAACAAAATAACCTGAGTTAATAAATTTCAGTATTTTCATAGCTCATTTGAAGCTAAGCAGCTACAATTCTGACTTAAACACTTCTTTTGTTCACTGATTCAACTTTTTTGTTTAAACTTCAGAGCTGTAAAAGAGCGTTGGTGAAAGATCCAAGCTCTTGAATAATGACATAAAATACTTTGAACTCTAAATAATTTTGCAGAAATTGCCACAGAATTAAAACAAATGCTCTTGTCTAGAAAAATGTTAAAATATCTTTATTTAGGGGCCGGCAGGCGGCATGGTGGTTAAGGGCACTGCATTTCCACAGGGCTGACCATGGTTGGAATCCTGGACCTGACGGCTTGCTTTCTCACTTTCCCTCCCTCCCTCTCTCCCATCTCTCACTCTGTCCTTCTCTAGTCAAATGAAAAATAAACAAATATAAAATAAATAAGTTAATAAAATAAAGTTAAATGAAGTTAACCTCTTAAAAAATGTATATTTATACTGGAGTGACATACAAAAACTATAGTACTTTACATATCACTGCAGAGTACAGAATGTGATCTGAAACTCAAGCAAAACTAAATTATTTGTGCCTAAACTATAAAGGAAAACACATCTGGTTTATCTTGATTTGCATTATTTTGGCTTAGCTCTCACACCTACCACACTGCATTTCCACAGGGCTGACCATGGTTGGAATCCTGGACCTGACGGCTTGCTTTCTCACTTTCCCTCCCTCCCTCTCTCCCATCTCTCACTCTGTCCTTCTCTAGTCAAATGAAAAATAAACAAATATAAAATAAATAAGTTAATAAAATAAAGTTAAATGAAGTTAACCTCTTAAAAAATGTATATTTATACTGGAGTGACATACAAAAACTATAGTACTTTACATATCACTGCAGAGTACAGAATGTGATCTGAAACTCAAGCAAAACTAAATTATTTGTGCCTAAACTATAAAGGAAAACACATCTGGTTTATCTTGATTTGCATTATTTTGGCTTAGCTCTCACACCTACCATCATTTCCACACTCCCTGCTGCCACAACATCTTTGGGTTTTGCATCTTTGGTTCCAATGTAGGAGCCGATGGTATCACATGACCAGGGAGAGTATTGGCTATAATCATTTCCTTTGTATTTCCCAGCTACCTTCAAGTCTTCATCCAAAAACTAGAGGGAGAAGGAAAAAAAAAAAAAAAAGAAAGAAATAAGACAGAAAATGGGTCCATGAATAACAAGACAGAGGAAGTAGGAAATTTCTTTAACATCATGCTGAAGCAACAAAATGATGGTGCTTTGATTTTTAAGTGTCATGATAGAAAATTTTTTTTGGAGATCACAAAAATATAAAATAAGTAAAGAATGATGCTTAGCCTTCATATTTTGTTAGCAGACAGTCAAAATGAAGTATTTTAATATCTTTCAAGGAATCAAGCCAAGATTTTTTAAATTTTGCTATAGGGCATGTCACTCCCCAGGGGGAGAGAGAGAGAGAAAGAGAAAGTGAGAAACTATTCCCAAGGAGGATGGCCACATCCCAATCTTTCATTCTTCACTTGGGATTTTAAGCAAGCACACAGTGGGTTATGGAGGAATCAACCATCTTAACCACTATGCCATTGGCTGGCCCTCAAGTTAAGAATTTAGAAGTGATTTGCTCAACCTTTCTTCACTGGATGAATTCAATGCATAAACAAAATATGTATCACGTCATAGTTTGGCAAGACTCTTCTCATTTTTTTCCCCAGTAAACAAGAACACTAAAAACTAATTACCTGAAATGCTCCATATGGTGCGTGATGATGTAACAACTATTTACTGAAATGTCTTTTCACAAATAGCAGTAATTCATATCTAGAATAAATTCTGGTCCTCAGGTAGATTTAATGAGGTGAAAAGGATAAGATACTAGGGCCAACACATGGCAAAGTGGTAAAGGCGCTGGACTTCCACATGGCCCACCATGGTTTGCATGCTGGACCTGGCAGCTTGAAAATCACACTGAGGACGTGTACATGCATACCCAAAATCTGAGAAGGAAAATGGAGACGACGGGATTGCAGCATGGCCATCCCCCTGGGGGGAGATTTCTCACTTTCTCTCTGTCTCCAGCAAGCACCTACACACTATGGCAAAAACCTAAAAAAAAATAAGATACCTAATTTTTATTTTCTCAAGTTCTGTAATTACATAGTAATAAAATAGCTATTCTAAGGCTAATATATTTTTACTAAAACAGCAATGTTCATACTTATGTTTTACATTTTTAAAGTGCTTTTATGTATACTATTTTTCTCATTAGCTCTTCAAGTCCATGACCGACAAAACAGGTGAACTGACCACGGTTATACTAGTATATGCCTCCTCCTATATACTGAAGATGTTGAGTCATCATTTACTGGCCTTCTGTACTGACAGAAGGTCTGCTGCTCACCCCATTTTCAACAGCAACTTCTGTTTCTACTATTCATTACTGTTTCTTTTTTTCCTTGTTATACCATTATTATTTTCGAATTTTTCCCAGAGGGCAAGGGTCTTGGGAAGCAGGGAGTGAAGATTAGTGAAAAAGCACCCCATATAAAGAATGTAATTCCTTCTCCTCTATGTCCTGCCTTTCAGAATTTTAGGCACACATGCATACATGTCCAACATGTTTTTCAGGCCACCAGGAATGGGACTTGAATCGTGCAATCAGCCACATGGGATCCAGTTAACTTAACCACCTTGCCACTGGCTGGTCTATCACCACTATTTTTAAAATTTCACCTCTTTTTTATTTATCATCTCCTTACGGACTTCATGAAGAACAGTTAAGCTTTTAAAACATGACCTACTGGGCTAGCAGGTAGTGTAGTGGTTACGGTATTGGACTCCCACATGGCTGATGATGGTTTAAGTCCCAGACCTAGAGGCTTAAAACTCACACCAGGTGCATGTATGTGCATGCCCCAAATCCCAAGAGTAGAATAACAAAAAGTAAAAACAAAAATAACCCCATGACTTATTTCCGGGCCAGCAGATGGCATGGTGGTTAAGGCACTGGACTCCCACATGGCCTGTCATGGTTTGAATCCCAGACCTGGCAGCTGAAAAATTATGCCAGGCACATGTGCCCAAAATCTGGAGGGAAGAATGGAAGAGAAGGGATTGTGGCATGGCCATCCCCCAGGGTGTGATTTTTCATGCCTCTGCGCATATGCTATAGCAAAAACACAAAGAAGACTGTCCTCCCCTCCCCACCACCATACTGTACTATACCACCATTAAAAGTAAGATTAATTTATATGCTGACACAGAAAGACATCCAGGATAATTAAGTAAAAATGAAAAACAAACCAAAAGTCTGACAGAAAAATGCTCAAGATGCATTAATAAATGATCCTATTAAAAATGTTAATTCAGAGGGAACCAGCAGTTAGTGTAATGACTATGTCGCTGGACTCCCACGTAGTCAACCGCGCTTCGCGTCCTGGACCCGGTGGCTTAAAACTCACGCCGGGCGCGTGTGCGTGTGTGCCCAAGATCCCAAGAGGAGAATGGAGGAGAAGGGATTGCGGCGTGACCACCCCCCCTGGGGGGTGATTTCTCGCTTTCTGTCCCTATGTCTCTGTCTGTCGAGTGCACGCACCCTATAGCAAAAAATCTCTCAAAAAGTTAATTCAGAGGCCAGCAGATGGTGTACTGGTTAAGTTTCTGGACACCTATATGGCCAACCACAGTTCATGTCCTAAATCTGGTGGCTTGAAACTCATACTGGGCACACTGTGTGCGTGCCAGATCCCAGGAGGAGAATGGAGAAGGAATTGCAGTGTGGCCATCCCCTGTGGGGAGTGATGTTCACTTTCCCTCTCACTGTCTCTCTCTCTCTCTCCAGCAACCACATGTACCCTAAGGCAAAAATCTCTGGGGAAAAAAAAGTTAGTTCATGCACAGAAAAAAGTTAAATATATACCAACAGTTAAAATATATAATAAGCTGACAGTGGTTATAGAAAAAAAGAATTTTGGAAAGGTTTCTTTCTCTATATCATGGGTTTTTATAAATATAAATTTAGTTCAACTCTAAGTTCATTGTTTATAATCAGAACTGAGGTTTAAATGATAGCTCTGTACATTATTACAGTAGCTAAAATATTTCTAGATTAAGTTCCTTAAAAGCCAGGCACTAACGATTTTTATTAGAAATAAAATAATAATAATAAATGTGAAGTTGTTATCTAATGCAATGCCTACTATGTGCCAGATGACTTATGTCTCATTGAATTTGTACTACACCATTATGAGAGACTTTATTATCCTTGATTTACAACTGGGGAAACCAGCTACACAGTTCAGGAAGAATACGTACTTACAAACGATTGCACAGTGAGTGAAGAGGCTGAGCCTTGAAAAGTTAAATATGTTTGATTCCAAAATCAGCTCACTTTTCACAATGTCAAATTGCTTTTCATATTATTTATAAAAATAATATGGCATAACTTCTGCAAATAGATCATTTTCATGCATCCAATTGGTTGCTCTTAACTATGTGTGATATACTTTCTCTTTCCTTACTTATTATTCATAATTTATCAGTTAACTATGATTTAGAATCATAATTCTACACATAAAGAATGAAAGGCATGTTCCTAACATAGTATCAACTGCAACTCTGCTGAACAAACTTATTTGACTTTTTATTATACGCCCTACGAATGAAGGCAGTACATAAACTAAGAAGAACAATGTGAAAACTTGGCTTAAAAAAAAAAAGAATTACTAAATTATTATTTTATTAAAATAATTATTTTATTTAACTTTACTTATTTATTTAAACTTGACCAGAGTGAGAGAGAGAAAGTGAGAAAGGAAGCCACCAGGTCTGAGACTCGAATCACAGTCAGCCATGTAGGAGTCTCGTGTCCTTAACTACCACACCACCTGCTGGCCCCAAAAGTTGGCTTTTTGAAAACACGAAATTTATAAATCCCTAGCAAGACTGACAAAAACAAAACAGAACAAAAAAAGAAATGGAAAAATGAACATTACAATGGATCCTATAGACATTAAAAATAAGACAATCATTCATGATAATAATGTGTTTTTTTTTTTCCTTTGGAGAGGTTTTTACTATAGGGTACGTGTGCTCGCCAGAAAGACAGGGAGAGACAGAGAAACAGAAAGCAAGAAATCAAGCCCCCAGGGGGATGGCCATGCTGTAATCCCTTCTCCTCCATTCTCCTCTCAGGATCTTGGGCACGCACGCACATGTGCCCAGTGTGAGTTTAAACCACCGGGTCCGGGACTCAAACCATAGTCGACTACATGGGAGTCTAGCAACATAGCCATTACGCTAACTGCTGGTCCCCATTCATGATAATAAATTAGCAGTCTTATAGACATACAAAGATATCTCCCTAAATTACTGAATTACCCTGCAGTGTATGTGTATGTATGTGTGTGTATACATGTTTTTTAATTTGCCAGAGGACATATGTGCTCATAGGAGAGAGAGAAACAGGGAGGAGAATGCACCCACCAAATGGACATGGTCACACAGCAATCAATCCTTTCTCCTCCATTTCTCCACTCTGTTGGCATTTTGGCCATGCACACACGTGTCTGGCATGTTTTTCAAGCTGCTGGAGCCGGGATCTAAAACCATGCAGTTGACTATGTGGAATTTGGGTCCCTTAATCACCAGGCCACACAACTGGTCCTAACCAGCTTGCTTTTTAGAACAACTTTATTTCAGAGCTCTTTATTCTTTCATTACCTATATTTGCCCATCCTTCCTATTATTTAAACGAATTTTACTATCCTGCTAGTTTCCTCATTATTAAGTTAAACAAATCTTTGACATGCTTCACCTATTAAAAAAAATAATCTGGGGAACCAGCAGTTAACGTAATGGCCATGTCGCTGGACTCCCACGTAGTCGACCGCGGTTCGCGTCCCGGACCCGGTGGCTTAAAACTCAACGCCGGGCGCGTGTGCGTGCGTGCTCGAGATCCCGAAATGGAGAAGGGATTGCGGCATGACCATCCCCCCTGGGGGGTGATTTCTCGCTTTCTGTCTCTATGTCTCTCTCTGTCTGTCTGGTGAGCGCACGCAACCTATAGCGAAAATCTCTCAAAATAAAAAACAAACAAACTGAAGCTAAGAATAGATGGAAGCTTCATTAATCTTTTTTTTTTTGAGAGTTTTTTTTTTTTTTGTGCTATAGGGCGCGTACGCTCCCCAGAAAGACAGAGAGAGACAGAGAAAGCAAGAAATCACTCCCCAGGGGGGATAGCCACGCTGCAATCCCTTCTCCTCTCAGGATCCTGGGCACGCACGCACATGCGCCCGGCGTGAGTTTAAGCCACCGGGTCCAGGACTTGAACCACGGTGGACTACATGGGAGTCCAGCGACATAGCCATTACGCTAACTGCTGGTTGCAAAGCTTCATTAATCTGACAAATATTATCTAACAAAAACCCTACAGCAAATAAAAATTCCACCTACTCAAAGACTAGAAAAGTGTTGAGAGTACCTGCTACCACCACTTGTATTCAACAATACACTGGCATGTAACAAAATAAGAAAAATGAAGCTGCCTTTGTAGTCTAGTTGTTAAAGGAGCCATATCCCCATTTTTTTAAAAAATTTTTTTGGAGAGGTTTTTGCTACAGTGCATGTGCGCTCGCCAGAAAGACAAAAAGCGAGAAATCACCCCCTGGGGGGATGGCCACACTGCAATCCCTTCTCCATTCTCCTTTCAGGATCTTGGGCACACACGTACATGCGTCCAGCGTGAGTTTAAGCCACCGGGTCCAGGACTTGAACCACGGTGGACTACATGGGAGTCCAGAGACATAACCATTATGCCAGCTGCTGGTCCCTAAAGGAGTCATATCTTATGTGGCTGATTACAGTATGAATCCCAGCTTGGAGACTTGAAAAACATGCACAATGTGTAGGCATGTGTACCCAAATCCCGAAGGGATGTAGAAACAGAGAAGAGGTTGTGGTATAACCACGTCCCACAGGAGGGTTATTTTCTCCCTCTCCCTGTCTCTCTCTCTGGTGTACATAAGCACCCCTTGTCAATGAACACACATACTCTCTCTCTCAAATGAAAACATAAGACAAAGACCAAAGGGAACAAGCCTGCGATACGGTGGATCCCTTAAGTTCTGGCCCCAGCAGTTTGAAAAACATGTGTGCATACCCCAAATTTGGAAAATGGAAATAGAGAAGGGATTATGGCATGACTATTCCCCATAAGGGGCTGCTTTCCTACTTTCCCTTTCTGTTTCTCTCTCTAGAGAGTGCACATGCCCTCTAGCAAATTTTTAAAAAATATTAAAGGAAAAAAAAATTATTCACAGAGAACATGATTTTGTACACAAAAAATCCAAAAGCATCCACTGACACATACTAGAATTAATAATAAAATTTAACAAGCCTGCTGAATAGAAGAGTAAATGAGCAAAAACCTACTTAATTTCTCTATATTAAAACAAGCAGAAAACAAAATATCAAGAAGGATTTCACTAAAAATAATTTCAAAAAACATCCATTTTCTAGGAAAAAATTCAAAGATACACAAAAGTGAAATGTAAATTTATTTATAAATTTTTCAATTATTTGTAAATATTTATGAAGATGCTCCAAATAAATAGGTATATATCATGTTCATGGTGACTCAATATTAAAAAGATGTCACTTCTTTGGATATTGCTCTAAGCTAACAAGGTCCAATGGAAATATAATGCAACCCACATATGTAATGCCAAATTTTCTAGTACCCAGATTGAAAAAGAAAAGAAATAGTTATTACTTTTAATGATATATAAATAAAATATTTTACTTTTTTAGTACTACATCTTGTTTTCTTAGTTTGGCTAGAGGGTACATGTACTTGAGACACACACAGAGAGAAAGAGAGAAGACAAGTGAAAATCCTCCCCATCTCCCCGCTCCCCTCCCTCTCAACCGGGGAGATGGCCACACACAATCTCTCCTGCTACACTCTTCTCTCAGGATTCTGAGCATGCACACATGTGCCGTCATATTGTTTGTTCAAGCTGCCAGTTCTTGGATTTGAATTGCAAAGTCAGCCATGTGGGACTCAGCTGCCTCAAAAACCACCCCATTGGTGGGCCTGGTACTACATCTTTGCATCCAGCATATATTTTTATGCTTATGGCAGATCTGACTTCAGACTAGCCATATTTCACACTCACTAGCCATGTGAGGTAATTGGCTACCAAACCGGATAGTACAGATCCAGAGAATCAATGTAACTTAACAAAAATTGGGGTTGTTCTACTGTTCTATTCAACAATACACTGGAGTGTGACAAAATAAGAAAACAGGAGCTGCCTTCATAGTCTAGTGGTTAAAGGAGCCATATCCTACTTGGCTGATTACAATGTGAATCCTAGCTTGGAGGCTTGAAAAACATGACTGGTGTACATGCATGTATACCCAAATCCTGATGGGATACAGAAACAGAGAAGAGGTTGGGATGTGACCACATTCCACAGGAGGGTTTATTTTCCTTTTCCCTTTCTCTCTCTGATAGAAATCAACACACTGATTCTTGAGGAAAACCAGAAAACATACAAGACCAATTTAATACAAAACCACACTAAGAAAATGTGGTATTGGCACAAGTATAAAAATAGGTCAATGGGGGAACCAGCAGTTAGCGTAGTGGCTATGTCGCTGGACTCCCACGTAGTCGACCGCGGTTCGTGTCCCGGACCCGGTGGCTTAAAACTCACGCCGGGCGCGTGTGCGTGCGTGCCCAAGATCCCGAGAGGAGAGTGGAGGAGAAGGGATTGCGGCGTGACCATCCCCCCTGGGGGGTGATTTCTTGCTTTCTGTCTCTATGTCTCTGTCTGTCTGGCAAGCGCACGCACCCTACAGTGAAAATCTCTCCAAAAAAAAAAAAAAAAAAAAGTCAATGGAACAGAGTAAGAATCCAAGAACAGGGCCATCCTTAACGTATACTGGTTCAGTAGGCTGGATCACACATGTCCGACTGTACAGTTCAAATCCCAGACTCCAGGGAATGTGTATGCACACACCCAAAACCCACAAAGGAGGGAGAGATGGTCTGGCATGACCATCTGCCACATGAGAGTGCTTTCTCACCCTTCCCTATTCTCATCAGTTGAGTGCACATTCCCTCTAGCCAAAACCAAAACAAGAACAGAGAGTCCAGAAATATATATGGTTACCTGGTCACGATAAAGGTGATGGCAGGTAAAGCAGTGGTGCTTAAGCTGGCTAGATCCTACGTGGCCAACTGCACAGTTCAAGTCTGGGACTTGGTGGCCTGAAATACACTCCTGGGGCATATGCATGCAAGCCCAAAACCCCAAATGAGGGAGAAATGGAGGAGAAAGGATTGTGGTGAACTATATCCCATGTAGGGATGCTTTCTCAGTTTCCCTTTCTCTCTCTGGTTAGTGTATGCTAACCAGTGTTTCGTGCAAAAAAAAAAATAAATAATAAATAAATAAATAATTTTTTTTTTTTCATTTAGTGCTGCTAGGACAATGAGATGCCTTATGGGGAAAAATATGAACCTTGATTCCTAACACAATATATATAAAAATCAAGTAAAAAATGAATTATAGATCTAAATATGAAATAAAATAAACTTTTTAGAAGGAAACAGAGGAAAATATAACCATGGACAAGGCAAATATTACTTAAACAGAATATAAACATTGGTAAGAGAAAAAATGACAATCCAGACTAAAAATGAGGTGCTTACTTCCTCTTGATGAAAGGTAGGAGGCAAGGTTGGTGAAGGTGCAAAAGGAGGTGGAGAGATAACCTTTCTTTCCTCTAGTTGGGCCATTATTTCCTTTCGTCGGCGATGTAGCTCATCTAGACTAGGATGGGGCTGGGGAGGAGGAGGAAGCCGGTTATAAGGAGGCTCCTTGAAAATGGAAAGATTAGTTAAATGGAAAAGAAATATTTGAAGCACATTGATTCATTTAGCATATGCTTTAAATAAGCAGCTTGCACACCCATCTTAAAATTAGAAATACTAAAACTCAATAATACAAGGGAAAACAAAACAAATAAAACCCCCTCAAACACTCAAGATGTCCCAAAGAACTAAATTTAGATGACTTTTTCTCAGTCAGAGACTGTAATTTCCAAATAGATATTTAAAAAGTATATGGGACCAGCAGATAGCATAACGGTTATATTGCTGGACTCCCACAGAGTCGAATGTATTTTGAGTCCCAGATCCAGTAACTTCAAATTCATGCCAGGTGCATATCCATGTGTGCCTATAATCCTGAGAGGAGACTGGAGAAGAAGGGACTGAGGCATGGCCATCACCTCGGGGGATGATGTCTCACTTTCTGTCTCTCTGGTGAGTGTACATGCCCTACAGCAAAAATTGCTATTAAGGAAAAAAAAAGTTTTAGATTCTGAAGTTCAGAATCTAAGAATGGTTACTGGAGGGTACAAGAGTTTGCCCTCTTTAATAGTGTTTTTTTAAAGAAAAGAATAATTTATTTTGTTGTTGCTTCTGTTATTAATTTGATCAGAGAGAGAGAGAGAGAGGAAAGGAAAATGAGAAAGCAAGTCACCAGGTCTGGGACTCAAACCATGGTTGGCCACGTGGGAATATAGCACCTTGACCATTGCACCACCTGATGGCCCCCATAATAATTTTTAAAAAGTAACCTATCCAGGGGCCAGCAGGTGGTATGGTTGTTAAGGCACTAGATTCTCACACAGCTCTTTGTGGTTGGATTCCCAGACCCAGTGGTTTAAAAATCATACCAGGCATGCATGCATACATGCCCAAAATCCCAAGAGAAAAATGGAGAAGGAATCGTGGTATGGCCATTTCTCCTAGGGAGTGATTCTCACTTTCCCTCTCTGTCTCTCTTTCCGAGAGTACACTTGCTCCACGGCAAAAACAAAACCAAAAAACAAAATACAAAACATACCCAAATAATGAAAAGACTAAAAAAAAAGAAAAGCTTTCTTATAAAAAATAACTGATCGAAGGGTAAAAGAGAATTACTAGAAGAAATAATCACATTAAGTCTATATAGTAATGATAAAAGAAAAGACAACATACTCTGAGGTATGACGGTCTGATTTGAGTTGGATGAGGAGCCACTGGGTAATAACCCTCCATTTGCTGGTATCTTTCTCTGGATTCAGGTACATAGGATGGTACTGCTGCAGGTGGAATCTCAATAGGTATGGGGCTTTCTCGAAATATCTCCTCTCTCGCATAAGGCTGAGCAGGGTAGACTCGGCGGCCATCATAGTGAGGTGGGTACATAGGTGGGTACTGTTGTGGCTGTGCACCATACTGAGAGCTTACTACACGGTCTTGGAGGTAGGGTGAATAATGATCCAAATAGGGAGGACCAGGTTCAGGAGCAGATGGTGGAGGTCGGACAAAGCGAGAGACACATTGTTGTGGAGTTGTATAGTACATACCTGTACAACAAAAAAGAGGAACCAAAAGCAATGATGAACTAATTTATTTTTCCTTTTCAAGTATTCAAACAGGCCAGTTTCAGTGACACAGCAGTAATGCAATACTCTAAGATGCTGAACCCACAGGGGAAGGTGCTAGACTCACAACCTGAGGTCTCCCTGTAGGTGCCAAGTGTTCACGCACAAGCCTGTGATCCTGGCAGGTTGGGTGTGGATCACAGTGTGAGGTCCCTGTTGGGGTTGCCTGTCTTTATCTCTCTTGGCAGAAATAAATAAAGTTAATAAACAACATACTGGGCTGGTGTTGTAGGCCAGCAGTTAAGGGAGCTAGATTCCACATGGCTGACCAGGGTTCAAATTCTGATCATGACAACTTAAAAAATATGTTGGGACATGTGTGTGCATCCCTAAAATCCTGATGGGATGAAGAAATGGGAGAAGGGATTGGCTACTCCAGTAGGGAATGCTTTCCCACATCTACCCCCAGCAAGCAAGCACATATCTAGCAACTAAAAAAATAAATAAAAAATAAATTTTTAAAAATTCATTTTCTTTCTTTCTTGAGAGGGAGGGAGGGATACACTTGATAGAGTCTTGCCATGTTGCCATCCTCCCCCATCTCCCAGCCATCCAGGATCATAGATGCACGGGCATGTCTGGTCAACCCAGAATCCAAACCCAAGCCTCCTATGGGGCTCCAGTATTGCACAGTGACATTATACCGCCTATGCTACTGTGGCTGGGCCTCTTCCTAGCTAATATTAACCATCCCAACTAATTAATTTTTTTCTCAAGAGAAAAAGGAAAGTTTATTGAGAGGAGTGCCTGGGATGATTACTTAATTTTTAATACACACACAGGAATATTATTCACACATATACAAGGGGTTGTCAAAGAGTTCAGGGAACCAGCAGTTAGCGTAATGGCTATGTCGTTGGACTCCCACGTAGTTGACCGCGGTTCGCGTCCTGGACCTGGTGGCTTAAGACTCACGCCGGGTGCGTGTGCGTGAGTGCCCAAGATCCTGAGAGGAGAATGGAGGAGAAGGAACTGCGGCGTGACCATCCCTCCTAGGGGGTGATTTCTTGCTTTCCGTCTGTCTCTCTCCGTCTGTCTGGTGAGCGCACAGGCCCTATAGCAAAAACCTCTCCAAAAACAAACAAACAAAAAACACAAGAGTTCATATAAAATGCCTATCAAGAAAAAAATTGAGCAAGAATTTCAAAATTTTTTGCATGAAAATACACTCATATTTTATTTCCTTTTTTAAATGAACTTTTTGAGGTACCCTTGCAGTTTTTTTTATTCTTTATCGGGTCATCTGAAGTCATGACTTATTTTTCTGTTTTCCTATATAAAAATGTGTCAGAATTTTTCCGATGACTCAATATTACTGATTTTATACTATAAACTCTCTACATGAATGTATGTTGTATTTCTTTTCATATTTATTTCAGGGCCCAGAAAAACAGTACTGACAATTAAAAGGAAGTACAATGTACCATTTACATTTAATTCAGACCCCTGTAATATTAATTCTTTTTTCATGCTTGAAGAAAATGTTAGTTAGGAGAATATATACTTTTTTTTTTTGAGAGATTTTCATTGTAGGGCGCGTGCGCTCGCCAGACAGACAGAGACATAGAGACAGAAAGCGAGAAATCACCCCCCAGAGGGGATGGCCACGCCGCAATCCCTTCTCCTCAATTCTCCTCTTGGGATCTTGGGCACGCACGCACACAGGCCCGGCGTGAGTTTTAAGCCACCGGGTCCGGGACACGAACCGCGGTCGACTACGTGGGAGTCCAGTGACATAGCCATTACACTAACTGCTGGTTCCCAGGAGAATATATACTTATTACTCAGCAAATTTTCACTATCTACTTGGGTGACTTGTTACTTTCACCAAAATAGGAATTCATTTATTATACAACTGTTTATAGTAGGTAAGGCAGTTTGATATTATTTTATTTATTTCACACTACTTGATCATAAAATCTGTTTTTCCAGTCTTAAAGAATGTGTTTATTATCTATCTTAAGGAGACAACTGTGTAAATGATTATTCTTACGTGTATAGTTCTCGTTAACTCCTAAGAAAACTGAGTGACATAAATGAAAGATCATTACCCTGCTGATAAGGTGTTGGTTCAAATGCTGGAGCAGCTCCCCGGGGATCTGGATAATAAACATCTGCCTGTTGTGCTGGATATAACTGAGAACCTCGTGGTACCATCTGAAGCGGTTTGGTGACAGGCATGGGAGGCAGATCTGCTGGCCCCCTTGGTGGTACAGGATGTGGATTCACAGGTAAGGCAGAAATACTCTTAGGGACGGATTCCAGCCTAAGAGAACAAGATAAAGCAGGGCAAGTTTAGTGAAAATACTTCTAATGCACATGAATTGTTACATGTAAACAAGATTTCTACAATTTGGAAAAACTAGCCTATTCTAGTAGTCATCCCTTCTATAAAACCTGCACATTTTTATTTGCAACTTACTTCAACTATGTTGTTTCTTAAAAATCACTAGTGTAGGATCAGCAGGTGGTGTAGTGGTTAAAGTGCTGGACTACCACATGGCCGACCACGGTTTGAGTCCCGGACATGGAGGCTTGCTTTCTAACTTTCTTTTTCTTTTTATTCTTTCTTTCTGGTTGTCTCTCTCTGGTTAGCACATATGTCCGATAGCAAATTAAATACTACTAACAGTAAATAAAATTAAATAAGTAATTCTTAAAAAAAATTATTAGCGGGACCAGCAGTTGGCGTAATGGCTATGTCGCTGGACTGCCATGTAGCCAAGCACAGTTCGAGTCCCAAACTTGGTGGCTTAAACTCATGCCAGGTGCATATACGTGTGTGCCCAAGATCCCAAGAGGAGAATCGGAGGAGAAGGGATTGTGACATGGACATCCCCCTAGGGGGGTGATTTCTCGCTTTCTGTCTCTGTTTTTCTGGTGAGCGCATGCGCCCTATAGCAAACCCCCAAAAAAAAAAAAAAAAAAAAAAAAAAAAAATGAGTACAGGGGCCAGCAAGTAGAGCAGTGGTTAAGGTGCTGGACTCCCACACAGTAGACCACAGTTCAAGCCCTGGAACTGATGGATTTAAAATCACACTGGCCATGTGTGTGCCCAAAACCCCAGGAGAATGGAGAAGAAATTGAAGTGTGGTCATCCCTCACTGGGAGGGAGGGATTTCTCACTTTTCCTCTTACCATCTCTTTCTAGAGAGTGCACACACTCCATGGCAAAAACCTTAAACAAGAAAAACAGGGAACCAGCAGTTAGCGTAATGGCTATGTCGCTGGACTCCCACGGAGTCGACCATGGTTTGCGTCCCGGACCTGGTGGTTTAGAACTCACACTGGGCGCGTGTGCGTGCGTGCCCAAGAACCTGAGAGGAGAATGGAGGAGAAGGGATTGCGGCGTGACCATCCCCCCCTGGGGGGTGATTTCTCGCTTTCTGTCTCTATGTCTCTCTCTCTTTGTCTGGCGAGCGCACACGCCCTATAGCGAAAACCTCTCCAAAAAAAAAAAAAAAGAAAGAAAAACAAAAACAAAAAAACCCAAAAAACAGTACATGAAATATAAGCAAAAAGCAACATACAGGGGCCAGCAGGTGGCATAGTGGTTTATGTGCTGGATCTGGAACCTTGAAAATCATGCTGGATGCATGTGTGTGTGCATTTGCGTGCACACATGCCTGAAATCCCAGGAGCAGAATGGAAACGAGACTATGGTGTGGCCATACCCCGTGGAGGGAATTTTTCACTTTAAATCTCATTCTTTTTGGTCAGTGTACACCTTTAAAAAAAAAAAGTCCATTAAAAAAAAAAAGTTACTATGGTCAATCCATGTCCTGGTGGTTAAGGTGACTGTATCCCACATGGCCAATGGCAGTTCAAGTCTCAGACCCAGCAGCTTGAGAAAAACTGCTGGATGTGTGTTCAAAATCCCAAAAGGAGGGAGAAATGGAAGAGACTGTGGTGTTATGCCCTGGAGAGGGTGCTTTCTGACATGTGCTCAAATGTGCATAATTTTCTCTCTCTCATGTACACATGTACCCCCTGGCAAAATTGATCACAAAAAAGGCAATGATTCCTTCTCTCTTCTACTTATATTTATAAAGAAAAAACTTTAAATGAAAATTAGGAAAAATGACATACAGATCAGGAGGGGATCCAGGAGCACTACTGCTCATATGATCCATCTTTCCTGATTTCAGACTAGAATCATAGCCGGGGTCCGTCCCTCGTGGAATCAGCTGTGTTACTGTGTTCCCTGTTGATACAATTCCGTTTGGCAGAGCCGAGGGTTTTCTGCTGGGCAGATCCACTGCACCTTCATCTGGAAGAATAGCTGCTGATGGCAGGCCCACCTCATTAAGCTGACCCAAAGAGGCACTCAGGGGTCTTCTGGGAACCAGGCGTTTGTTCATTTTACGAAATCTAATAACAAGCAAAGGCACACATCACAAGTCAGAAAAGGAAAATCAAGAACTAAAATGCACATGAAAACATTTTCTAGAAGTTCTCTCTCCCCTAAAATATGAGTTCTATCTATAACTTAAATACCCTGTGAGTATATTTTCTATAAAACCTCAAGCAGCAAGTAATACAGAGTAAGTATAAAACTGCTCATAATATGTATTTGTAACATTACAGATCATACTATTAATATTTTATTACAGCATATTTTTACTTTCGTTGAAATTTCTATTTGTAAAATGTACTAGAAGAGGTAGAAGAATCTTTTTAAAATGAATTATTTATTTATTTAATTTCATTTATTATTTATTTTTTAATTTGAAGAGAGAGAGACAAGAGAGTGAAACAAAGGGAAAGTGAGAAAGCAAGCCACCAGGTCCGGGACTTGAACTGCCGTCAGTCATGTGGGAGGTACAACACCCTTAGTCACCATGCCACCTGCCAGTCCCAGGTAGAAGAATCTTTATAAGATAGTTTCTGACTCCAGCATCTTTATCTCTCAACTATGAAATGCACAGGGACCAGCAGATGGCATAATGGTACATGACTGGACTCCCACATAGTCAACCATGGTTCGAGTCCTGGATCTGGCAGCTTAGAAATCATACCGGACACATGTGTATTTGTTCCCCAAATCCTGAGAGAATGGAGGATAAGGGACTGTGGCATGGCCATCACCCACCTGTTGGTGGGTAATTTCTTAAAATGGAGGAAAAACAGATTTTTTGCGACAGGGAACATGTACTCATTAGAGAGGCAGAGACAGACAGACAGAAAGCAAGAAATTATTCCCCAAAGTGGCTGGCTACACCACAATCTCTTCTCCATTCTCAAGATTTTGGGCACACACGCACATGTGCCCAGCATGAGTTTTAAGACGCCGGGTCTGAGACTTGAACTATGATCAATTACATGGGACTCCAGCAACATAACCATTATGCCATCTGCTGGTCCCAGAAATTAGACATTTTTAATGCCACACTACTCCCCAAAACTACTGTAAGCCCTACTAATAACATAATGTCTTTCAATACACCATCAAAAAAGGGTAAAAGGGTATAAACTGTTTTGTTTGTTTGTTTGTTTTGAGAGTTTTTTTTGATATAGGGCGCGTGTGCTTGCCAGAAAGACAGAAAAAATAGAAAGTGAGACATTACCGCCCCGGGGGGAATGGCCATGCCGCAATCCCTTCTCCTCCATTCTCCTCTTGGGATCTTGGTTGGGCACGCATGCACACATGCCCGGCGTGAGTTTAAGCCACTGGGTCAAGGACTCGAACTGCAGTCGACTATATGGGAGTCCAGCGACATAGCCATTATGCTAACTGCTGGTCCCAGGGTATAAACAGTTTTAATTAAAATTTTTTTAACAATTTTGAACATAGTTTCTCATGTTTATTGGCCAAGGTTATTTTTTCTGTGAATTGCCTATGTTCAAGATCCGTAAATCTACTGGTTCCACTCTTTTTTTTTTTTTAAAGATTTGTAGGAGCTTATGTTACGGGTATCAGCCCTTTGCATGTCATTTCTCAGGTACTTTTTTCTTTTTCTTTTTTGAGGTATGTGCTACAGGGCATGTATATTTGCCAGAAAGACAGAGAAAGTGAAAAGGTAAAGTGAGAAATTACCCCCAGGGGGTATGGTCTCATTGCCATCCCTTCTCCTCCATAGTTCTCCTGGGATTTTGGGCAACATATGCAAGTGCCTAGTGTAATTTTCAAGCCACAGTGGGCAATGTGGGAGTCCAGACCCTTAACAACCAAGTTACCCCACCCTATCAATTTAAATTGTGGTGTTTGTTCCGTATCTTTTAATTTTTTTTTTCTTTATGTATCAATGGTGAGAAACTGTCGAAGGTAATTCTGGTATATGAACACATGCTTTCTACCCTAAAGATAAAACAAAAACCTTTTCCTTCTTTAACATTATTTAATAACTCAAAAAAGTCTCTGTACAGGTTGAGTATTTCGAATCCAATTGAAATGCTTCACAATCTAAAACTTTTAGAGTGCTGACACGATGCCATAGATGGAACATTCTACACCTGACCTCATATGACAGGTCACATTCAAAACGCTGCAATACAAAATTATTGCATTAAATTATCTTCAGGCAACATGTACAAGGAATACATAAAATATAAATGAATTTCATGAATTTCTCATCCCAAGGTATCTCAATCCCAAGGTATCTCATTAAGTATATGTAAACTAAGGCAAATCTGAATACTTCCAGTCCCAAGCATTCTGGACAAAGGGTACTCAACCTGTGCTCTATGGTTTCTTTGACTAATTATTCAAGTCTCTAAAGTATCTATGATTCATTCAGGTATTAAAGACTGAGTCAAGGGGACCAGCAGATGGAGTAATGGTTAAGTCACTGAACTCCCACGTAGTCAACACTGGTTCGAGTCCTAGATTCGGCAGCTTAAAAACTCACACTAGGGAACCAACAGTTAGCGTAATGACTATGTCGCTGGACTCCCACGTAGTCGACTGCGGTTCGTGTCCTGGACCTGGTGGCTTAAAACTCACGCCGAGTGCGTGCGTGCCCAGGATCCCGAGAGGAGAATGGAGGAGAAGGGATTGCGGCGTGGCCATCCCCCCTGGGGGGTGATTTCTCGCTTTCTGTCTCTGTGTCTCTCTCTGTCTGTCTGGCGAGTGCACACGCCCTATAGCAAAAAACCTCTCAAAGAACAAAAACAAAAAAACAAATAAAACTACACACACAAAAACTCACACTAGACACCTGTGTGCGCATGCCCAAGATTCTGAGAGGAGAGTGGAGAAGGGATTGTGGTATGGCCATCTCACCAGACAGGTGATTTCTTGCTTTCTGACTCTCTGGTTAGTGTACACATCCTATAACAAAAATCTCTCTTAAAGGAAAAAAAAATAAAAATAACCAGACTTTGTTTTCTGAATTTTCCTGGATGAACATATTTATTCTTTTAAAATAAAAAAGGACTCTGTGTTTTTAAGATTTTATCAGGTCCTTACCAATAATGTTGAGATTTTAATCAAGGTTTCACATAATTGCCTGTTTAAGAAGAAATAAAACTTTTATAATATTAAGTCTTATCCAAGAACATAGAATGTTTCTTCATTTATTCCGTTTTTCTCTTACGTTCTTAGGTAGTTTACTAATTCAATTCATATAGCTCCAGTATTATTTCCTACAAATTTATTATCTACTAGTTATTTTTTTTGGTCTTGTTAATGAGATAGGGATTTTTAATTTCAACTTAGTTTTAAATTGGTTGTTTCCCATTTAATTCCTTTTTATTTATTTATTTATTTTTTGAGAGGTTTTTGCTATAGGGCGCCTGCACTCGCCAGAAAGACAGAGAGATAAAAAGAGAGAAATCATCCCCTGGGGGGGATGGCCACACCGCAATCCCTTCTCCTCCAGTCTCCTCTTGGGATCTTGGGCACACACGCACATGCGCCGGAGTGAGTTTAAGCCACCAGGTCCGGGACTTGAACTGCGGTCGACTACGTGGGAGTCCAGCAACACAGCCATTACGCTACCTGCTGGTCCTCTCCCATTTAATTCATTTTTGCAACTTAAAAACTTTGTCACCTTACTAAACTTTCATATCCTTTGTTTCTAATACTTCTCCCCTGAGTTTTTCCACATAATAATTGTATGGCTGTTTTATTCTCTTTTTTTTTTTTGTACATGTAACAACTACTACTTCCAGAATGCTAAATAATAGTCTTACTAGTGGAAAATTTTGCCTTATTCTTGCCATTAATGTGGCTGTATTCAATTTTCTTTTCATTTTTTATTTTAGAATTACTTTCTAACTTTACTTACTTACTTATAATTTGACCAGAGAGGGACTGGGGGAGGGAGCGAGAAAAGCAGCCACCAGGTCCAGGCTGAACCATGGTTGGCCATGTGGGAGCCAAGCACCCTTAATCACCATGCTGCCTGCCAGTCCTCTGAATTTTCTTCTTAAATAGCCAGAGGAGCATGTGTGCTCACCAGAGAGGGAGGAAAAAACAAAGAGGGAGAGGAACAGGAGAAAACACTCCTTAATGGGGTGTGGTCATACCATAATCCCTACTCCTCCATTTCTCCATCCTGTCAGGACTTTGGGTAGGCACACACATTCTCCAAAATGGCTTTTTCAATACACTGGGACCAGAGTTTAAACAGGCATCAGCCATATGGAATTTGGCCCCCTCACTCTCTAGGCTACAGGACCAGCCCTTGTACTGGATATTTTATTAAGTAAGCATCATACTTCATGCTGGTTTTTAATTAAAGATATATTTTACTAACATGTTAAGAAAAAACTGATTATATTGCTATTTTCTTAAGGAATTTGGGTCTCTGACTGACACTGGATTTTATTCTAATGCCTTTTGGCATCTCAGGTACCATCTTTGGATCACATGGCATTTCTTCTCTAAAGTATGATTAATTACATTGCACCTCCACCTTTGCACTGAGTGACAGTGCCCATTTAAATGTGTTACTGAATTCTATTTAAAATTTTTGGACTTGTGTGTGCGTGTACCATGCCTAAAATTGTGAGAAGAGAATGGAGAAGAAGGGACTGCAGCATGGCCATCCCCCCGGGAGGGTGATTTCTCACTTTTTCTCCCTGTCGAGAGAGTGTATGATCTATAGTGAAAATTTAACATTATTGGAATGATGCGATCCTTGAAATTTTAAAGAATCTATGAAGGGCCAGCAGGTGGTTTAGTGGTTAAGGTGTTATACTCCCACATGGCCAACCACGGTTCAAGTCCCAAACCCAGAAGACCGAAACTAAAGCTGGGCACATACATGCACATGCCCCAAATCCCAGGAGAACAAAGGAGAAAGGATTGTGGCATGGCCATTCTCTCTAGGAAAGTGATTTCTTGCTTTAGCATGCTCTATCTCTTCGGTGAGTGCACGCACCTTATAGCGAAAATCTCTCTTAAAAATGAAACACAACATAACAAAAAAATAGGGTGAGTAGGTGGCATGGTGGTTAAGGTGCTAAACCCTCCCACACGGCTGACCACAGTTCAAGTCCTGGACCTTGTGGCTTGCTTTCTCACTTTTCCTCCCTCTCTCTAGTCAAATTAAAATAAATTAAATTAAATAATTAAAAAACAAACAGGGCTGGCAGGTGGCATGGTAGTTAAGGGTGCTGGACTCCCACATGGCCGACCGCAGTTCGAGTCCTAGACCTGATGGCTTGCTGGTTCTCACAAGCATGCTCGCTTGCATGCGCTCTCTCTCTCCCATATGTATGAATCAATGAATAAATAAATAAGAAGGGACTGCAGCATGGCCATCCCCCCGGGAGGGTGATTTCTCACTTTTTCTCCCTGTCGAGAGAGTGTATGATCTATAGTGAAAATTTAACATTATTGGAATGATGCGATCCTTGAAATTTTAAAGAATCTATGAAGGGCCAGCAGGTGGTTTAGTGGTTAAGGTGTTATACTCCCACATGGCCAACCACGGTTCAAGTCCCAAACCCAGAAGACCGAAACTAAAGCTGGGCACATACATGCACATGCCCCAAATCCCAGGAGAACAAAGGAGAAAGGATTGTGGCATGGCCATTCTCTCTAGGAAAGTGATTTCTTGCTTTAGCATGCTCTATCTCTTCGGTGAGTGCACGCACCTTATAGCGAAAATCTCTCTTAAAAATGAAACACAACATAACAAAAAAATAGGGTGAGTAGGTGGCATGGTGGTTAAGGTGCTAAACCCTCCCACACGGCTGACCACAGTTCAAGTCCTGGACCTTGTGGCTTGCTTTCTCACTTTTCCTCCCTCTCTCTAGTCAAATTAAAATAAATTAAATTAAATAATTAAAAAACAAACAGGGCTGGCAGGTGGCATGGTAGTTAAGGGTGCTGGACTCCCACATGGCCGACCGCAGTTCGAGTCCTAGACCTGATGGCTTGCTGGTTCTCACAAGCATGCTCGCTTGCATGCGCTCTCTCTCTCCCATATGTATGAATCAATGAATAAATAAATAAATCTAAATAAACTAATTCTTTAAAAAACAAAATAACAAAACTATGCACTGAGCCAAAGACAAATTTTCCCACTGTGCATACATTATGATTAATGAAAATGGATTAAAAAATACCAAAGTTTTAGTTTTCTGTAGTGAACATAACTCACTTTTACTTATGAAAGTTTTCTCTTAGGGCCAGCTGGCGGTGAAGTGGTTAAAAGCACTGGATTCCTACATGGCCCACAGTGGTTCAAGTCTGGACCTGGCGGCTTGTTTTCTCATTCTCCCCCCCTCGTCAAATTAAAAAATGATAACAAGTGGAATTAAATAAATAATTCTTTAAAATAAAAGTCTGCTCTCTGTAGACATGATATAATGAAAACTAAAGAAATTATGTTCTATATTTAAAAATTTTCTTATTAGTTGAAGAGAATACAATCATACTTTTGTATTTTTCTTTTTTTCTTGGAAGAATTATTTTATTTAACTTCATTTACTTACTTATTTATTTTAGTTTGACCAGAGAGGGAAAGAAGAGAGAGAGAAAGGAAAAGTGAGAAAGCAAATCTGGGACTTAATGCGCGGTCAGCTATGTGGGAGTCCAGGGCCCTTAACCACGCCACCTGCCAGCCCCACTTTTGTATTTTTCAATGTCAGCGAAATATACTACTTATGCCTTATTTCAAAGGCCGAGTCTCATGACCTTCACACTTACTTTTCCAGTTCCTCCTGGGAGTGTGCAAATGTACAGCTGGCCCCACGTGGACATCCGCCTCTCTGCTTCATGTCTCGACACATGTATGTTTTATATTTGCTATGCTGTGGAGGCTAAAAACAAAAGCAACAAAAAAACCCTGTAAATTTTGTGTTGCCATTTAAAAATATTGATAATTAAGTGAATAATTCAGACTATTTCATATGTTTATCTAGACTACTCAGCACAAGAAAGTTCATTCTATCTTAAGTTATCAAAGAGTTCATTTGTAAATAAATAAGAAGGTAGTCCTGATTTTTTTTGATATGGTGATATTAATTCTCAAATATGTAGCATCACATAAATTCTCATATAAATATCATAGGGGCTCTATGATCTTTCATAATGAAAAACAAAGTAGAGTTCAAGATTTTCAATAGCATAGACTCTTTTCTAATAGTTGGTTTTTACAAAGTTTAGTAGGACTATATATGTATAATTATTTGTATCACACCATAAAATTTATGAGCCTAGATTTAAAGAATATTCTGTAATTGGGACCAGCAGTTGGCATAATGGCTATGTCGTTGGACTCCTGTGTAGCCGACTGTGGTTTGAATCCCAGACCCGATGGCTTAAACACATGCCGGGCGTGCATGCGTGCATGCCCAAGATCCTGAGAGGAAAATGGAAGAGAAAGGGCTGCGGCATGGCCATCCCCCCTGGGGGATGATTTCTCGCTTTCTGTCTCTCTGTCTGTCTCTGTCTTTCTGGAGAGTGCAGGCACCCTATAGCAAAAACCTCTCAAAACAAACAACCGCAAAAAACTGTAACCAGAGACCAGCAGATAATATAATGGTTACATTGCTGGACTCCCACGTAGTCAAGCAGGTTTGAGTCCTGGATCCAATGGCTTGAAATTCATGCTGGGCGCGTGTGAGTGTGTGCCCAAAATCCCAAGAAATTGGAGAAGGTACTGTGTGGCATGGCCATCCCCCCTGAGGGAGTGATTTCTTGCTGTCTCTCTGGCAAGTGCAACATCCTATAACAAAAACCTCTCTTAAAATAAAAATAAAAAAAAGTTCTCTAACGAATTCTTCTTGACCTGCAGAAGAACATATCAAGGACTTACACATCTCCAAAGGTACAAACAGAACTCATTATTTAAAACCCAGAGATAAGGCAGGATGAATGTGGAAGTTAATCAAACACAATAAATTGAATGGATTTAAGTGCATTTTTATCACTATATGACAGACTTTAAAGTTTGATTATTTTTATTATATAATAATCTGTTGAATTTTACCTGAGCCAGGTAAATTAATAACAGTTTTATTGTATTTTACTTTTCCTCTTTACAACATAGCAAGACCCCGTCTCTTAAAAAAAAAAGAGGGGCCAGCAGATGGCATGATGGTTAAGGTGCTGGACTCCCACATGGCCAATCTTGGTTCAAGTCCTGGACCTGCCAGCTTGAAAAATCATACCAGGTGCATGTGTGTGTATGCCCAGAATCTTGAGAGGAGAATGGAGAAGAGACTGTGGTGTGGCCATCCCCCTGGGGGGTGATTTCTTACTTTCCCTGTCTCCATCTCTCTCTGGCAAGTATAAAACAAAAACTTAAAAAATAAATAAATAAAAGAAGGAAAAATGCCTATAAAATAGGAAACTCTTCTAGCAATCTTTATTACATCAGAAAGGGGAACGAAAAGGAAGAGGTAGACTTTATTTATTTATTTTTTAAAACATTTCAAATTACCGTGACTTTTTTTTTACATAGGACCAAGCCTCAGAACCAAAACATCAGGTCTCTGGCTGATGCACTGTTTCTGTTGTTAACACAGACTAGAAAGGTAAGAAAATATATCAAGAGATGGCAAGTGTGGCATGGGATCAATTAGAAAAAACAAACATGCTATCTTTGTGAGCAAAAATTAAAGAATTTACTGAAATTTTATGTTGAGGTAGAGAAAATACACATGGTACAGTATTTCAAAACCAATGGAACCACCACTCTACCTTCCAAATAAACCTAAAGTTACAACTTCAATCATGTTTTCAGCCCTCCCTCACCCCGTAACTTAATCACCAGAGTCAAAACAAATAAGCAATATAAACTTATATGATGCTACAAGCCCCTTAGTCCCTTCCCACTGCATCACCAAATCCTGATCCTTGAATGTCTACTGCGCGCCTCTGAATCACTGAGGATGTTTTAAGAGCATGAAGTCTACTTGACTGAGGCTAAAAATCTTTCACAGCACTCAGGAAAGCCCACAGCCTGGATATAATCTTTTCTTTTTTTGGGGAGAGGTTTTCGCAATAGGGCGCGTGCGCTCGCCAGACAGACAGAGAGAGACATAGAGACAGAAAGCGAGAAATCACCCCTCCCAGGGGGGATGGTCACACCACAATCCCTTCTCCTCCATTCTCCTCTCGGGATCTTGGACATGCACGCACACGAGCCCGGCGTGAGTTTTAAGCCACCGGGTCCGGGACGCGAACCGCAGTCGACTACATGGGAGTCCAGCGACATAGCCATTATGCTAACTGCTGGTTCCCAGCCTGGATATAATCTTGAAATCACCTAAAACCATCACTTCTAAGTAGGAAGCATTCTATTGGGTTGTCGGCAAAGTCATAATGCAATTTTGTATAGAAAAATATTTCATGGCTTTTCTGATGACCTAATATCAACCTTATTTGAAACCTCCCAAGCTGGTGAGCCCTACTTCCTACAACCTAAATAAATACCCTTGCCACAATTAACCCAACTAACTCTTCCTCAGGGGATACCCTTACTTCTAGCCCCTAAGTTCCTCTCATTTCCATTCCACATTTTCTTTCATGAACCAGTCTCTCCAGCTCTGTCTTTGAAAGGCCCTGTCTTCTCAGACCCTCTACTAGGCCCTTTAGGCCCCAAGCTCCTGTAAGACACTTGCACAGTGCTACCCACTTAACCTCTAACTCAGAGCTACTGCTGCCCCCAACTACCCTCTGCCCTGCCCCCCCCCCC